ATCACATAATAATTCTCAAATACTTAAGATTTCGAGTAAACTCATTATGTACAAGAAATTCCCTAAGTACATACTTAATGAGATTGAAAAAGTACTAAAGTCTTACTTTAATGATGGCTCATAATTATCTCAAAAATCGGGGATTTAATAAATAATAAGTGGAAGATTTTATTTGTAAGGACGAGATTTAAGTTTCCATTCAGTGTGAATTTCTAAACCATCACATTATTATTCAATGGCTAATCAAGGAGTCCAGGTGAGCATGGAAGGTCGTCGAGCCGCTTAGTATTTGGAAAAAAAAAAAAAAAACCCTAATGGAGTCAACACGGGTGGGCATAGGGGCTCGTCGAATGCTGGTTCCACCCCTGTTATATTATAAGTAGGAAATTAAAAATTATATTCTATGTGTGATAGAAAAATACAAGTTCTATTTTGATGGCACAATACAACGTCAAAATCTTAAACAATTGTATATCAACTCTAAGAGTGAGTGCAAATTTTAGGATGATTATAGGTTTGGTAGTGTTATTAAACCCCTAAGCAAAGTAATTTAAATAAAAGTGGAAAGTGTGGTGCCTTGTGTTGGTCCAAACAATTGTAGGCTTGATTATTGCTATTATAACAAAAATCAAGACACACTTGTACATATGACAAGTCATAGTAGCTAATTGAAATATGATAATTCAAAAAAAAAAAAAAAAGGTTGTCAAATCTCTTCCTCACTCAATTAAGTTCAACCAGCTATATATATCTAAAAATTAATAATAATAATAATAAGTAAAATGATAAGGTTTTATCACTCCTCCTTTGTACATATTTGATTTAAAAATCTGAAGGACACACAGGAGATGTGACTATAGACTGTTTATGGTAAATATTCATTTTGGATTTTGGGATATTGAGAATCTTGCTTGTCTAGTCTTAGGTTGATAATGTTGTACAACGAAAAGTTGAATTTCTTTATAATTCGAGGTCGATTGAATCATTTGCTACTATTTTTGTTCATTGTTAGATGCAACGATAGATATAAATTAATTAAATTCTTAGCCGTGAAACAATTTTTACAATTTAAGCAATTTATCATTAGAATTTTACCCACGAAAATATTTTTGACGCTTTTCACTTGATTAAAGAAGAAGAAATGTATGACGCAAGAAAAGAAAGAAAATTAGAGGATTCGATGGAGAAATTTAGAGCGAATCGAGAAAACGTCTTTTTTTGTTAATGTTTCTTTCAACGCGGTCGCTTGAAGTGCTCCATGAAAGTGACATTTACCAGATTTAAAACAAATTCTTGAAAATAATTATGGTATTAGTAAAAAAAAAAAATATAGAAAAGTAAAAACGTGTTACTTTCATGACCTAGTTCGATTTGACGGCGTGGGGTCTACAAAGCTTTCTTTTCCTCGCCGAAAGAAGATTAGAATTTGCGAAGAAGTATTCAAAAAGTTATATTGGAAGTTTGCTTTAAGATTGGAGATAGAAATGTACGACTTTGCTTTTGATTCAAGGTGAGAAAAAACGATGCTGCATTTATGTTCTTTCTCCCTTCCAAGGCAGAATCAAAATAAATAGCTTCCATGGCAAGATAATAAATGAATAATTAGTACAAAAACGTTCCTATCATTTGCATTCATTGCACAAATCATTTCTATCAGTTTAAATTTAGCATTTACACCCTTATTTCAACATTTTCTCCGTGGAGCTGATTTTACATATGGGTTATTTATGCAAAACGTCCCCCTATTATTTGCCTTCATTGTGTAAAATGCGCCTATCATTTGTCTTCATTGCACAAAATATGATTATTGTCTACTTTTTACAATAAACCATTATAGAATAACTAATTCACTTCCTCTTCAAACAAACGAATAAAAAAAGAAAGAAATAATTGCAATTAAAGTCCTAAATGTTTCAAAATAGTTAAAACGAGTTCTACTTAAAATAATTTAAAACGTATTAATAAAAAAGTTCGTCTCCCCTCACCCAAAAAAAAAAAAAAAAAATCCTTTTCTTTTAGCTGGATTTAAATTAGAACAATTAGTATTGAAATTTGGATTAAGATCTTGAATGAACCCTCTACTGGAAGAAGAAATTTCATCTTTAGACATCATTTTGTGAGACATAAGAAATTTGAACACATTCAGAACAAAATTTAAAAGTTAAAGCAGTATGTGTTTTTGAAATAAGCAACAAGAAGTTTGAAACAGGAATTTGTTGAAAATAGTTAAATCCCTAAAAAAAGCTCTTTTACTTCATTGAAAATAAAAATATAGTGGACCTGGATGGTACCGCAATCGGATAGGGAGAAGAGGTGGTGGTGGTGGTGGTGGTGATAATCATAGTAGTTGGTGGCAAGGTGCGGAATTAGACATGGAAGGAGAACCATTTTGTGTTTTCTATTTTTAATCAGTTTCTTATTTTTTTATACTTTAATTCTCTTTTTAATTATTTTGATGGTAATGGTGATCGTGGAGGGTAGAGGATGGGGGTAGATGTAGTGGTAGGTGAAAATAATTGGGAAGATGAAATATTTTTCTATTTGTTAGTATATTTTAAATTGTTTCACGTGAGACTCGTTTGTATTTTTTTAAAAATTCTAGAACTCTAGCTTAATTATTATTATTATTATTATTTTTTACATTCTTTCTTTTTACATTCTATCTGTTTATTTAAAGAGGATGACAATTTAATGATTTTACAATGTTTTAATCGAGAAAATAGACGATAATGATTTTACAATGTTTTAATCGAGAAAATAGACGATAACTCCCCAAGAAAAATGTTAAAATGAGGTTGTAAAGGCAATATTTGAAATGATAGGGACAAATTGCGCAATGAACGCAAACGATTGAGACGTTTTGTGCTAATTACCCATAATAAATTAATAGGCCAATTAACGATTGATACAAATAAGTAAATAGACTCGAAAGAGTTTGAAAACCGGAAAGGAAGGCTTATGATCTTCATCATGAGATCTCAATTTCAATGGTTAAATAATTTACTAATATTTATCGGTTCCATAGAAGTGTCAAAATGGATGGGTCGAGCTAAACTAACCTGCCTAACCAGATTCAATCAAACTCCCCATTCTCTTATTAGACGTAATTTAATTCTTAGTCAAAAAATGAATATTGCGAGAACTTGGAGGACATGTAAAAATATAAAAGACAAATAAGTATTTTAACAAAAAGAAAAAAAAGGGTCATATCTAGAGATCAAGACTTAGCTCAAGTTATAAGAGCGAAGACTTACCAAGTCAATGGTTTGGATTCGAGTGTCATTTGAGAGGAATGGTGAAATATATACAGAAAAAAAATAATGTAATTAGAATTTAGAAAGAAAGAGTAGTTGAGTTGGTGACGCAACCAGAAAAAGAGTAACTAACGATAACAAAAGATAATCAAATACCAAATGCTTCTTTACAAGATTATTTAACAATCATGACTCAGTTGAATCACGAATGATTGACAAGAATTGATTCTTGTCTGTAAAGTCATTGATTATGAAAAATAGTGAATAATTGGTGAAAATTAGCCCACAATTATATTTTTCAAAAATAGGGTTGAATAATATTTTTTATGAAAATGCGTGATTAAAAAGTAGTAAAAAATTTCAAATTTACGTGCAAAATATTTTATTGCACAAATGTGTAATTAAAAATAAGTACATATAAAAAAAAGAATTTGAAAAGTAAGATTGTACAAGAAAGTCTTAAGAGAAACCTTAATTTATTTTTTATTAAATAAATCTAAAGCAGCGCCACCTTGGTTTTTAAAGAAAGAAAACCCTACAACCCTAAATATTAAATTTAATAAAATTGCAAAACAAAACCGTAACGTTTGGTATAGATTAAAATCTAAGCCCCTATCTGACCCCATTCAAATTTAATTTTTTTTCTCTCCTCTTATCAATCACTGAATCACACGTTCACTTAATAAAATAATATCATATGAGTGTATTTAATAGATATTAAAATCGGATTAAAATTGAAAAACTAACCGTTATTATTGACTTTTATTAAATGAATAAGACTAATAACGACTATATTTTCAATTTTAATTGGATTTTAATCGCTCCCAAACAAGCTCTATATTCCAAAATCAACTTTTTTTTTTTATAACGGTAAGTGTCCGGACCAGTTTGCGCACACCTCGACTGATCTCACAAGTCCCTGAGTTTTACGATTGGGTATTCTCCTTAGTGACATTGAAGAGACTTGAACCGGTGACTATTGAGGAGCAAACCCAATACCTGACAAATTGAGTAACCTCTCAAGGTTCAAAATCAAGTTTTTCCAAACAATAGAGCTTGAACATGGGGTAAGTTAAAGTCAATAATTAATTTTAACTATGTATTTTATGGATCCCACAACTTTTCGTTCCTCATTTCATTAACTTCTATCAAAATCTTCTAAAAATTTTATTTTAATCTCCATAACGGAATATCAAGACACAACAAAAAACTACAAAACAAAGCTAGCATAATTAAATGGAAAAATTCATTTGTACAATCATTAAAAGGTTGTAATTTTTATAACCTCTCACATTTGGATGGAGCGCACTAATTAATTAATTAGTAAACCCCACCCTAATGTGAGAGAAGTTGTAAAAATTACAACTTCCTAATGATTGTATACCAAGCATTGTTGATTGAAAGGAAGTTCAAGAGCTCTTTTAATTTTTAATATTCAGGTCAATTGGATTGGCCCTCAAGAATTGTTAGGCTTAACAAAAAATTTGACACGACGAGTTTATTATACATGTTCTATGTGGCTTAATAGCGTGCAAAGTTGCTCTTCCATAGCTTCGTTACATAAGTGACAATATCAGTGTTTCTCACATGTGGAAATAATTATTACTTGTATTGGGTTGAAGAAAGAAAATTGTCACTGGATGTCAGCATTGAGTTTTCAACTTTTTCTTGATCATTGCCCCAACCAATGAGTCATCACTCACCATTGCCACCCTTCAATCTTAAGAAGGATGCGGAGAATTTCATTCACGCCTTCTGTTGTTCTTGCTTCATGAGTTGCATGAATTCCCCAAATACTGCCCCAGAATAATTTTGTTAGCAATAAAGTGTCAAATAAGAGCTTGGGAAACGATTATTAGCAGCACTATATATCAAGAGTCCAATAAATTAAAAATGTATTTCAAAGGAGATGACACAGAGATACCAGGATCTGAATCATGAGGTCCCGGGGATGCTTCAGGATGGTACTGAAGTGACATGATCTTTAACTGAGAGAAGGCAAGCCCCGCACAGCTTCCAGCATTGAGATTAACATGAGTGACTTCTGCACCTCCTGGAAGCGATTCAGGGTCAACAGCATAGTTGTGATTCTGCATAAGATTGGTTTGAGTGAGTTCCTACGGAAAACAAAATTCTTCATGAAATGTGTAGTTTGGTTCATAAAGAAGGGGGAAAACATTAGTGTGAAACAGTACATCCAAGATTACAAATCTACAGTATTTATACAACTCTATTCGCCCCCACCAATTTTTCAATAAATTTAATCTCAACAAAAACCAGATTTAAGTTCTTACCTTTCAGGTTATATATATCAGAATTTGAAAAATAGAATGGAACTTACAAAGACAGCAGATAAAAGAAAACACAATGAACTAGGAAGGATTCAGTATTATTCTGTGCATGTATGGAATACCATATTAAATTCTGACTATAATCGTCTTATAAATGAACAGACCTGAGCACTGATTTCAACACGGCCATTTCGAAGATTTCTGACTGGATGATTTCCTCCATGGTGACCAAACTTCATCTTGAAGGTCTTACCCCCCAATGCTTGACCAAGCAGCTGATGTCCCATGCAAATACCAAAAACAGGAACTTTTCCAATTACATAAGGAACTGCAGATGGGTCTCCAGGACCATTGCTGAATAGAACTCCATCCGGTTTCATCTTTAGAGTTTCAGAGGCCAGCCAGTAGAAGGAACGACAGTGATTTTACAGCCGTAGGATGCTAGGCGCCTCAATATATTTTGCTTGATACCAAAATCATATGCAACAACCTTCATTCAAGAAAAAACAAGAAGTCAATCCACAAATAATAAAAATGCATTTTATATCATACAAAGTCAACATGCGAGATACATACACGAAAAGTCTCTTCATTTCTTCCATTGAAGTTAAAATCCCACCCTGAATTTGTTCTATCAACCCATTCATAAGGAGCCTCACACGAGACCCCACTTATTAAATCCACGCCTGCAAAACTGAAGTCATAAACCCAAACACAATCTATAGTTATCACAAACCACTAAATTACCATTCAAACCAATGTAGAGAGTAGATTGAAAATTACCAACAATATTCCAAGTCCGAGAGGTTTTTATGAGTTCTTCATCCGTTTTCGATTCATCAGTGCTCAGTACACCAATAAGGCTACCATCTTGTCTCAATCTACGGGTAATAGCACGGGTGTCAACATCATCTGTTACACAACAGAACAAAATGAAAATCGGAGAAAGGATGAGTGTAGATCAAGGCACATAATTAGCAAACACAAAAAATGACCTACATATTCCCATAATGTTCCTTTCTGCCAAATAATCCCCAAGCGTCTGTGTGCATCTCCAGTTTGAGGTACTGAAGAATGTTAAGCAGTAAATACGCAAAGGATAAGAGAGGTAAGGTTAGTAGGAAGAATAGAAACATGATTGGTTAGAAATCATGGTTATATAAGACAGCAACCTGATACTCAAACTTCTGACTACTAGGCCTGCTAAAAAACACAGTCTTGATTCTTCATCATCTGCCAACAAAGGTGTGCCAATCCAAATAGTAAATATTATTTCCAAACATAGTTTCTCGAGATATCAATAAGCATTGCACGCACCAAAATTGACACCAGTGTTGCCAATATGTGGATTTGTCATCAAGACAAATTGGCCTGCATAACTAGGGTCAGTAAGGATCTCTTGGTACCTGCAACATCAAGATATCAAGAAATTTTTATGTAGATCCACAAAATATATGTCAACCTTAAAATCCGTTCCCTCAAACTCCTTCACCCGTGTGTTGGAAACAAGTTATAAGATGACAGAAAAAAGGCACCCAGAACCAACACCTGTCTACTCACTAGTGTGACAGCCATTGATATGAATTTTCTGTTTCTACCCTAAATTTGTTATTTAAGATGGTGACCTTGGTATAGACATATATCTCACTTTTTTGGATTTCAGAAGTGCTTTGTTGCCAGGAAATGATGTTCCAAAATGAATGTTTGTTGGCTAGTGTTACATTTCCTTTTCTGTTTCTTAATTTGTCAGACTAATAGTAAGAGTAATCCAATACTAATATAACTTTATAGAAGTCCTCTACACATTGACATGTTCCTAAGCAATTTGAAAAACTTGAGCAAACAGAAAATACAGAAACAGTGGGTACATCTGAAGCTGTTTGGTGAAAGTTGCTTTCTGCAACTCACTCTTCTTGAAGCAGATTATAAATGAGTTGAATAGTTGTATCTAAAAGTCGGAGGCATCGTAAGTTGAAGTAGTCCTTTTCCCAGGTCTTTCATGATTTCATCCTCTGAGTGGGCACTACGCAGAATAGTTCACTGCACCTAAGCCAATTTTAATTTGTGCCTCCAAACAATCCTTTGAAGATAGTTTAAATTTTAATCCACTTGAAGGAAAACTTCATGTCTGCCCGTACGCACATGATGATATACATTTAATTAAAAAAAATCATTTTCTATTGGTGATGCACTGCTGATGCACCAGACAACCAAAACAGAATAGGAAGTTTCGCCCCCAAAAACTTGCTCCCCCTCCCTTGCCAACAGTGTCCCAATCACGAGCCGAGGAAAAAAATTAATTCTTTAGCAATCAACATTGATTCGTAATGGAGATAAATTCATAGAAAATTCTTAATTTTCTTAAAATTAGAACTGCCTCTCAAAAGAAAACTTAAGTAACCATGTTCAATGACATTATGCAGAAAATGGTATAAACAAAAAGCAGCAACTAGCTCTCAATGGATAGCCTACTCGCAGAAATTTCGAAAAATTCAATAATAAAAATAATTAATTTACCAGTTAATGATGTATTGAAAACCACTTCACCAACTTGGGTTCCAGAAGCACCAAACGACTTCGCCCTCCAAATCGAGCCATCCTCTCATCTGCCACCTTCCATGGCCTTTCCGCTAAACATATTGCCCATCAACAATACAGATTAAAATAAAATAATTAATATCAAATTCCAAGACAGATACTCTATTCTTAGAATTTATTCCAAGTAGCTGCTACATTAACACGGCACACACGAATTGCACGTATACATAAATACAAAAAATTTCAAATCGAACTGGACTATAGAAACATTACCAGTGGAGGAATTGTCGGAGAGAGAAATAGAGTGGCACTTGACGGTTAAGATCATGGCTCGTCGTGAATTTATGAATTGTGTCTTAGAGCATGACGGAAAGTGAGTTGCGACTCCTAGAGAACACTCCATTTTTTTCGCGTTCGTTTCCTGCAAAATGAAAATGAAACCGAGTTCGAGTTTTAAAGAAGAGAATATTCGCGCATTTCGAAAGATAGAAGCGGAAGCAAATAAATCTCAAAATTGGCGCAATTTATCCTTTTAGGCGGAATAATGCTATCTTGCATCCCTTGTTACAGAACATTTAAATGTGATTTATTTTCTTACTTTAAAGGTGATTTATCACACTTGCATGCCATTGATAAGTCACAAAAAAAAAAAAAAATAAAATAAAAGATACACCAAGAATTGTCAAAATGATGAGGAAGGAATTTCTAATTCTAGGAAATGGACGAAGTAGATTCATCGTATTGGGGTCGAAACTCTAAACCAGTGCTTAGCATTACTGATGCTAAATGACATTACTCTTTTGGACGAGCCCAATTTGCCTTCCTGTTTAAATAATGATAAGTTTAGGAATCCCCAACCTTCTCATTTATTATGCTTAAAAATTTTAAATTTACATCTCTCCATAAAAAGGTACTTATTAATGTTAGCCAAACCCAGAAAAATTAAAGGAAACAAACACGAAACATGAATATTTCCGAGAGTTTGATGAATTTTAAAAATCATTCTAAGCCTCTGTTTGGTACACATTCTTTCAAAATTCATTTTTAACCACACATTTTTTTTAATAAAATAATATTTTTCATCATATCAATAATTTTTTTTTTTACTTTTTAACCACATATTTCTCATCATATCATTATTTAAAATACATTATTTTCTCAATAATATCCATCAAACACACCCTAAATTCAAGTGTCCCAATTAAGAATTTAATAAATTTTAATGAATCTCAGTTAAATCCATTAAAATTACCTCGTCGATTTATAAGAATTTTAATAATAGAAGAGTTTTAAAGGATTTAGAAGTATATATTAAACTCTTTTGAAAAATCACCATTTTTAATAAAATTTTATTTTATGTAAGAACTGTTATTCAAGAATATTTTTTTAGAATTTGTAATCTTCAAATTCATCCAATTCTTTGACGACACGACCTTTAGAAGTCAAAGTCCCGAATATCTTCTCCGTACCACCCAAGGCCCAACCCTCGGCATTGCAAACACTTACGCGCCGCCCACTTCCACCCCTACAAACTCATTTCCAGAAACCCTAAATCGTTTTGTGCGATACCTTTCTTCCTTCTCTGACCCTATCAGTCGCGATGGCAACCAGTAAGTTTATCTTTATGTCCGGTTAGCTGATTAAAATTGAAAGACTCAATATATGGTTTTATTTTTGGATAGGATTGCAATTTGAGAACAACTGTGAAGTGGGAGTTTTTTCCAAGTTAACCAATGCATATTGTTTGGTCGCAATTGGGGGTTCTGAGAGCTTTTACAGGTGTTAGCTTTATTGTGCCCTCGTCTTCTTTTTATTTATTATTATCATTATAATTATAAATTAGATTGTGACCCAATGGTGCAAAAGAAGAAGAATGGGAGATGCAAAATATTGATTTTTTATTTTTTTTATTTTTGGTGGCAGTACCTTTGAGGCTGAGTTGGCAGATGTTATTCCGGTGGTCAAAACCTCAATTGGTGGCACTAGAATTATTGGACGCCTATGTGCTGGTGAGAAACTTCTAATAGCTGTCATGTTCATTTTTTTCATGCGGCTGACTTGGATGATTGCAAGCTAATAAACTTTATCGTTTTCAGGAAATAAGAATGGGCTACTCTTGCCTCACACTACTACCGATCAAGGTAATTTGCCACATATTGTGTTCTATTTTGTGGCTATAATTTATCTTTTATCAAACATTAAGGAATTTGTCAAAACAATGTTATTTACTACTGACTTAACATAAAAGTATAAATCTTAGCCTACTTGCTCGGATTATGGAAGGAAAATGTGGTTTGTCAGTTTGTAAATGATGTGAATTTTCTGTGTTCTACATTGTTCAGTCGTCTGCTCCTGGCCCTATTTTTCAGCCAGCATATGAATGGTGGTAATTAAATTATGTGAAATTGCTAGTTAAAAGGAATTGATTATGCTGGTTCAATTATATTCTATTTCTGACAGTATGAATAATCTATTTAGAGTTCAATTCACTTGGAGTTACTTTAATCCTTGGCACTTCAGTGGATATATGCTGGTTCTACATATGTTTCTTGATTGTCAATTTCATTTATGTTACATTGAGATATTGCATGATTTGTATCTGATTATATATTTTCGTATGACTCAATTGTTTTTGTCATATGATATTGTTCTTGTGGACCAAAAAATTTCATCTTGGATTTGTGGACTTGATGTTGCTATTCCTTGTAAATTAGAACTCCAACACTTGAGGAACAGTCTACCAGATTCAGTTGTTGTTCAGCGCATTGAGGAGAGATTATCTGCTCTGGGGAACTGCATTTCATGCAATGATCACGTTGCTCTTACACACCCTGATCTTGACAGGGTAATCTCATTTAGTTATATTAAATTTTCTGCAATTTCTTTCTTGAATGGAATCTCAATTGACAGTTACTTTGTTTATGTTATTGTTGTTGGATGACCCCGGATGAAAACCCGTCTTCCTCCACCTGTCCACATTGGCCTGTACAAGTTTTCTAATCTTGTGCTTAACCTTTTGCATTTTCTTCTGAGCTATGGAAGGGTTTAAATCAAATGCTGTATTATAGAAGATCTCCAAAAAGAGACAGTTGATACTTGATATATCTCTTCTATTTTTGACGTCAGAAAGTTAATTTATCTGCTATATTCCTGTAAACTTCAGTTATTTTATCTAGCCTTTGCTTCTTTTTCACACCATATTATGTTCTTTTTTCCTTTCTGGTTCTTTTTTTTTTTTTGTCTGATTAATATTAACGAGCTTTGACTCCTCTACTTTTATAGTATTTTTTATATGGAAAAGGGACCTCTAGCTGATACAACCTTTTACTGTGTTAGTATTACCCCGCTTCTTCCAGTGGAAAAGGACCTCATTACATTGCTAAGATAATCCCATACTTTCTGTATCTTGTCTTTCTTGAGTTCTATCTTCTAACCTCTTTAAGGCTTTTGTTTCACTTGTCTTTTAACATGTGGTATGATTCATTTGCATTCTTCCTCCAGTTCTCGTTCTTCATGGATGCACTGTGTGTTACGGCTAGTTTGTGCATAAATTCTTTGATCTAGCAAGACTTGGATGAACATGATTTGATCAGCTGCTCTTACACATGTATATATCACCTGATGCAAGTGAATTTATTCGTTTTATGTAGTAGCCTGTTATTAGCAGGCTAATAAAGTGGTTTTCTACCCACGCAGATGGATACATTTTGATTCTTCCTCTTAGTCAAAAGGCTTTCTCACTGACCACCATTGTGATATATAATATATGGTTTGTTATCTGTTCATTAGTTGAATATTTTTTTCCAAACCATAAGGTACTTCATTATTTGCCTTTTACATTGATTGTTTCATTTGCATAGCATCCACTTTTCAAGACTTCTTTTCCATCCTCGAGTCCACCCGATTGACATCTCAGTTGTACATCGAATGTGTGAGTACAGTCTCTCATTTACTGCATATAATGGTGATAATTCAAACTCAGTCAATACAAACTGTCTTTTTTTATTTTTGCCAAGAACTAGTCCAATTTTCCAAGAAATTTTAACTGTTAATATTGGGCTAGAAGATGGATCTATTCAGAAGAAGGTGACACCTAGAGTTGCTGTATCACGTGGTATTGTTAACACTTTTTATAGGGAGTCAGACCGAATTGATGTGCAACTTATTCTTTTATAAGGAGGGAATTTCTTGAACTCTGTTCTTGTTCATCAAGATCTCAAGACTCGAGCTACTTCTTCACTTCATGTGTTTCTATACTTTCTGGTTAAATTAGTGTATCCTTATTTGGTGGTGTTATTTTCTCCTTGTTGGGGATAGAGATTTATGAATGCAGTTGTCTCTGTCACTATTCTTTAACTGAATCTGCAATTTTACTTGATCAGGAAACTGAGGAGATGATTGCAGATGTTCTTGGTGTAGAGGTTTTCAGACAGACAATTGCTGGTAATATACTTGTGGGCAGTTATTGTGCATTTTCTAACAGAGGTGGCTTGGTAAGCATTTTATCCTTTGTTAAACTAAATGTCCTTTTAGTGAATATTGGGTGTTTGTTAAACTAAATGTCCTTTTAGTGAAAATTGAGTGTTTGTCCGTTCTTCACACATTGACAACTAAGGTTGGTTCTGGCCTGTTTCTCATAAAATTCTGATTTTTGAACAGGTCCATCCTCATACATCTATTGAGGACTTGGATGAACTGTCGACCCTTCTTCAGGTTCCTTTGGTAGCTGGGACTGTGAATCGTGGTAGTGAAGTGATAGCTTCTGGCTTGACAGTCAATGACTGGACGGCATTTTGTGGATCAGACACAACAGCAACAGAATTATCTGTTATTGAGAGCGTCTTCAAGTTGAGAGAAGCTCAACCTAGTGCTCTCGTTGATGAGATGAGAAAATCATTGATTGACACCTATGTTTGAGTTTCATTTAAGTTAAATGTGTGGATGACTATACTGCACTTCTACTATGGTTTTTTTTAGTTTTCAGTTTTATGAAAGAGAGATTCTGATCCCTGTAATATGACATGCGAGTTAATATTTCATCTGTTGTTTCTATGATAAGAGTTGCCGTTGAACTTTTTCAAATTTTACTCGAAACGACAATAAGAGAGCCTTTGAAGGTGATTTTTGAATTTCATTGAACAAACAAGCGGTTGAATAGTTATGGATGAGTCCCAAGAAGAAGATTTCACAAGATGAGAAAGAAATCTGCTACAGGAAAAGACCATTCAATGAAATTGATTTGCTTGGCATTGCAAAATGACCTATAGATGCTTCTAATGTTGAAATGCACAGTTATGGTTTCCTTTTGACAATGGGAATATGAAGTTCATTTATAAGAAAAGGAAGCTCTAAAGCTCCACCTTAATTCTCTTCATAAGCTGTTTGTACCATTATCAACGTGCCAAAAATCAAATCAGTAGAGGGAAGTTTACGAGTATACATTATACTCGACTCTCTCTAAGATAAAGATATTTCCTTTGTCGTCCATCCCTATTCTCAAATAATCATCTACATATCTACTATTTCAAAATATGATATTCATTGTGAAAAATCGAGTCTGTAGCAAGCATCAAATGCTGCAACAATTGATGTTTGGCATATCGGACCAACAATTGACAAATTTTATTACTCATAAACACCAAACACGGGCAAATGTCTAAAATTGTTGCCTTTTAATCACAACAAGAATCAGTGCAAAGGATTTGTAAATGAGGAAACAGAAACTATGGGGCAAATTTCATTCCATAAACGCGTCCTTCACTTTTTCGTAAACTGTGAAACTTGTACCGTATCTGCAAAATAAATTCCATTCCACTTGGGCTGCCTGATTCAAGTTTTGAAATTCAATTTTTTTTTTAATTTTCTTATAATTTGTTTATTTTTTTCAATTAAAAAAAATGGTTAGACAAGATGTATGTCGGCTCTTCACAGCTTGCCCCACCAAGGGGTGGGCTGGTAGGACGACTCAAGCCGATCAAGCCATTGACACCAGTTTATGAATCATTTATGCAAGGATAAACTCTCTCCCCCACGTACAGGGCCCATGCGTATAGACCGGTCCATAAATAAACTGATCCATTAGCCCTAAATCCTCTTTTCTTTCCAAACAAATTTGAAAGCCCATTAATTTTGATAGTCCAAATTAATTATTCACATATTTATCGCGAAAAGTTTAATTAACAATTTTTCTGTCTGAATATACAGTGAATAACCAAAATTATTTTTAGTTACATCGTTGAGCTCCAAAGTATTTCTACTTCTTATGTTACTATAGGTACTTGGACAATGGTCTGTGCGCCCTAAGGTGTGTTTGATTGCGAGAATTGAATTTTTATGAAAAGAAAATAAGTTCTAAACAATTAAATGAGTAATTACCACAAAACATCCCGGTCTTTGCCCCTACCATGAAATACATTCCCATCCTTTTATTTTGACATGATCTTTTCTTTACGGAAAACATTTTCTTCAATTTTCTTAATAAAGTCTCGCGAAATGATGAATATACCCTCCTCTTTAAATAAATAAAAAAAATGCAAACGAGTTTGAAATAAATAATTAAAAAATTAAATTGAAGTANATGCAAACGAGTTTGAAATAAATAATTAAAAAATTAAATTGAAGTATAAATTAGTTTTTTATATTATATTTTACAAAAATTAAAATAAATAAATATTTTTAACCATATTTTATTTCTTTTATTTATAATATTATCGACGTATTCAATGAACTTATTGTAATTGTATATATTATATATGTAAATCAAATAGATGTCAATTTATTTATTTGTTTTCTAAAAATAAAAATTAAAAATTAAGCTATACGTCAATTTAATTTTTTAGTATTTATGTGGAACTCGTTTGCCTTTTTTGAAAAAATTGAGACTATAGTTGCAATTAACTCTTTATTTATTTATTTATTTTATTTAAAGAGGAGGAAATATTCGTTATTTCACAAGGTTTTATTGAGAAGATGGAAAAAAATGCTGTATTCCACAAAGAAAATGTCATCTAGGGGGAATTCTGCGTCAAAGTAAAAGGATAGGGATATATTCCACGGTGGGGGCAAAAGTCAGAATATTTTGTGCCAAATGCCCCAATTGAATTGTCTATAACTTATTTGCATGAAAATTGTTAATTAAATTTGTTTGATTGACTCAATTTTCAAACTAGAAAATATTTTACTTTTCCATGAAATTGAGTTTTTGGGAAGTATGAATTGCCTAGAAAAATAAAAACTTAACCCCACATAAAGAAAATATTTACCTTATATTTTAGAAAAATATGGTCACGCGATCAACTTTCACAAAATATTTTCCTTAAAAAAAATGTCAATTAAATATTTTAAAAATAAAACTTTTGATCCAATCATAGAAATATTTTGAATTCGTATATTTATTCATTGTAAAGAGACAACCTTATCACATATTCATTGAGATCTTGAAATAAATCAAGAAATTAAATTGGGTCCCACCGACGTTGGCGTGGTGGGGGGTGGGGCACGTCAGCCTGATATTTGGGTCATCGTTGAACGATGGTGCAATGTATGTTGAATGCTTTACTCTTTGGTAATTACATGAAAATGACGCGTAATTAACACTTGAAATGACGTTAATCAATTCTTAAACCATTTCTCTAATCATGCCTCAATCATTAACTAATATTTACGCACTAAATTCCGGTTGGCCGATTAATAATGTCACTTACAATTTTCTTTTTCTTTTTTGTCGAACCATTATCATAGGAAAATGAAATAAGAGAGAAATTTTAACACGCCACGTAATGTCAAAGTTTGGTTTTGATTTTTAAGAAAATAAAAAGGGCGTAAAATCTTAATTTGCTATTTTGTTTTTTCCTTCATTTGACAAATCCTATTGTATCAAGCAAGTTGAGGTAGTTTTCATTGTTTCATGACTTTGAGCAAAAATGAATAAATATCACAAAATTAAATAATCTATATAAACTACTTGCAATATTAAAATCCAAAGTCCTCAATTGTCGCAGAGTCATAACAAAATAGACATTAGAACGTATGACTCCATTGAATCGTTCGCAATAGAAATATCTCCATCCTCTAACCAACACAAAACCCTCGTCTGTGAGTTGTCTTAAAACTTTACTAGTGCAACTCGAACTATTCACCGAGAATCTTTCTTTCCTTTTCATTGAATTTAAGCCTTATCTAAATTTCGAATCCAAATTTGAATCTAGCTGGAGTTAATTAAGTTGAATATGCCCTCTAAGAAAACAAGCCAAAAGAATTAATTCTTCGATTTAAAAACCCATTCTTTAATCTTGATTGACCACCACTTATTAATGAAGCGGTAGGTAATTAAGAAGACTAATCCATAATCTTTGACCCACACAAGATATGAAGATCAACATAATTAAATTCGGCCCGAGCCTCAATCCAAAGTCGGGCCAGTTAAGCAAAAAAAAGAAAGAAAGAAACAAAGAAAAAACCATCTTTTAAAAAAAAATTTGTCCAAAAATTCGCTATCCCTCTGGTTTTATGAAAACGTCGTTCTATTTTCCGTTTCACCGATTTAAATGTATGAAAATTGCTCAAAATCAACCCAAAAACTCGTTTTTTTGATTTATTATAAATTCATTATTTCATTTATTCTTTATTTCTTAAAAAAATGAATGAGTGGATCCTTATTCGATCGATCATCTAATCCTTGAATATTTTTATTTTCGGATCGATGCCCTATTGATTTTCAAAACATTGATGTAGATACACCACATGATATGGAAACACAGCTTTTTTTGAAAGCAAATTGTGGGCTGTGTGGGCCACATTCTAATCTAAATATAGCTTTCAAGCACATCATCCATACAAATCCCAAATGGTTAGCATTCTCATTTATCCCCATCTTTTCCCACCTATCCTTGCCTTCTCAATGACATCAAGGGCTGAATTTATCTTCAAAACTTTAACTTTCTCCTTTTGACTTCATACTTTTTCAATATTGTTAAACTAGACACTCAACTTGTTCCCACTCCATCCTCGCAATTTGACTATCGACACGTTTTGCTTTCACTTTTGACTGCAATATAAAAAATAACAACAAATCCTCGTACGAATTACGATAAATAAGCCTAAAATCTTTGAGTAATGCTATTCATCCTTATTAAATTGAACACCAGTTTAAGTGACAATACTTTATATGTTCAATTAAATGGTCATGTGACTTTACATTTAAATGAATTTTTCATTTAATATCATGTAATTTTCATTTAAATTGGTGCTCAATTTTATCTCCGTCTGGATAGCTTTAAGCCCTTAACAATAATAAATAATTAAGAACGTTGAATATTAATAACAATTATTTATTTAAACTTAGTGTTTTTTGATAAAACCTCGATAACATTTTATCAATTTTTTTTGTTTAAACTTCAATTTTAATCATAAATTCAATGAAATTCACAGTTCAACCTTAGATTTTATTAATTTTTATCAAAATATATTTCTACTTTAATAAAACTTTTGTCAAACAACCCCTTAATTATTTACTTATTCAAAACAATTTAATTGGCTGTGCATGTATCACCCCCTTATTTTATATTATGAGTTTGTTTGTTTGAGATTCTCAAATTCTACAGTAAATCAATTCTTATTTTCAACCACATATTTTTCAATAAAATAATATTTTCCATCACATCAATAATTTTTTTCTTTTTCAACCACACATTTCCCATCATATCAATATTCAAAAATCAATTTTTCCCCCAAAAATCCATACCAAACAAACACTAAGGATGTCGTCCTTTTATGTAAATGAAATTTGACTGCGAGTTGATGTAATGTGTTTAAAATTAAAGGTCATGATTGTTATCACCTCATTGAATGTTAAACTTATTATCAAAGAAAATGTACATGTAGCATGATTGTTAAAAAAAAAAGTTCCTTATTTAATTAATTATTTTTAATAAGATTTATGTGTTGTTTGATGTAGATTTTTTCTGAAATAAATTTATGAGAAATAATATTAAAAAATCTCAAACAAACACCCCCTATAATGAGAAAAATAGTAATTTGTTGAAGAATAGATGTTTTAAAAAAAAAAGTAAAAGTTTTTGAATTTACGTGTAATTTTTTTAATTAAAAAATGTATAATTAATAAGAAGAAAGAGAATGAATTATAATTTCGTGTGTCAAACCGGAGAGGGGGGAAGGTATGTGAAAGGAAAACAGAATTTCAAATTTTACTTTATTGACCAATAATATGTCGACATGTCACTAATATTTATCCACTATATCATGTACGAATGCAATTCAACTTTGCCCACAATTCTTTTATCTTACCTAAAAGAAACCCTACAATTCACCGTTCTTTTTGCCTTTCTTCATTAACCCCTTTTCGGAAAGAGAAAAAAATTCCAGAAAGGTAATTTGATCAGTGAAAAAATGAAACCCAGAAATTCAAACCAACCCTGAAAAAGAATAAGCTTATGAGCCAGGATTTTTTTTTTACCATAACTGTTAAGCCTTCACTACGGTCTAAAGGCTATTTTTTTTTTTACCATATTTTCCTTTGAAGATTCGGGTTTACCAAGTGAAGTGAAGTCATGTTGGATAGTTCAGTTTTCTCGGGAAATTCTGGTGTTGACGGTGCTGATGGAAGTGGTACAAGTGGTGGAGCAGCCGCTCATGGGGTGGCTGTGGAACATAGAAATGAGGGTGGCAGTGGCGACGGTGGTGAAGATTTTGACCGGAATTCACCTGGTAATCGGTGGCCTCGTGAGGAAACTTTGGCTTTGTTAAAGATAAGATCCGATATGGACCGTGCATTTCGTGATTCCATTCTCAAAGCCCCTCTTTGGGATGAAGTTTCTAGGTACCCTTTCCATTTCACTCCCTCCCCACTGTTCTGATTTTTTGGAGCATATTTGAATGGAGAATTATTCGTGTATAAACCTGTTAGCTGTAGAGTTTGTATTTTCAATTTATTAATAGTCGATTCTTTATTATTCAGATCAGTATACACTGTTGATTTTGGTTAACTTCACTTGCTGTAACAATTCTGTGAATCCTCGTATTTTGTTTCTTTTTGCATATAAAGAGATTGATGCAGTTCTTTTTAATTTTATCCAAGAAGAACTTTGATTATTTGTGGTTTACTTTTGCACCAATTCATTCCTTGTCGATTGAAGTTGATGTTTTTGTGTGTTCCTATGCTTTGTCCTGAATGGCATATTAGTTATGTTCTTATACGAATTCTGAATTCAAAAGCTGGAATAGGACAGTCAGGAGATTTTATTGTGTGCTTTTTATTCAGGAAATTAGGTGAGCTTGGATACAATCGAAGTGCCAAGAAATGCAAAGAGAAATTCGAGAACCTCCATAAGTACCACAAGAGAACGAAGGAAGGCAGATCCAGTCGGCAAAATGGGAAAAACTATAGATTCTTTGAGTTATTAGAGGTTTTTGATAATCAACTCTCAGTTCCATCGACTCCCTTGAACCAAGTCCAAACGTACCTGACGAAAACAATAGCAGCTGCACCATTAAGGGTAAATCCCATTAATGCATCTCAACATTTTAGGGCGCCTTGTTCGAATCAAGATCCTGATACTGAATTCATGTCCACCTCTACATCCTCCTCAGAGGAGAGATCTGAAGGAAGTATTAAGAGAAAGAGGAAGTTGGCAGAATATTTTGAGAGATTAATGAAAGATGTTTTGAAGAAGCAAGAGGACTTACAGAACAAGTTATTAGAATCCATGGAGAAATATGAGCAGGACAGGATAGCAAGAGAAGAAGCATGGAAGGTACAAGAAACGGCTAGAATAAAGAGAGAACAAGAGTTTTTAGCCCAAGAACGAGCGGTTTCTGCTGCAAAGGATGCAGCCATGCTTGCATTTTTGCAAAAGATCTCGCAGTACTCAACGGCTCTGCAAATTCCAGATATTCCATTTCCAATATTTGAAAAACATTTGGACACACATGACAATGTGTTGGAGAAGTGCATTGACAAACAAGAAAATGGCGTTGGGGAGACTTCAAATCATACTGATAAACAAGAGAATAGTGTTGGTGAGAATACTACTCTAATGAGCTCTTCTCGGTGGCCAAAAGCAGAAGTTGAAGCTTTGATTATGCTTAGAACTGATCTTGATTTGAAATATAATGATAATGGGCTGAAAGGGCCCTTGTGGGAGGAAATTTCTTCTGCCATGAAGAAGCTTGGTTATGATAGAAGTGCAAAGAGGTGTAAAGAGAAATGGGAGAATATAAACAAGTATTACAAGAGAGTGAAAGATAGCAACAAGAGGCGGCCTCAGGATTCGAAAACTTGTCCCTATTTCAACACGCTAGAGTCAATCTATGCAAAGAAGTCTAAAACCGAACACACTTCAGAAAATTCGAGTTACAATATGCAGCCTGAACGCATTTTATTTGAAATGATGGGCCAACAACAACATCAGCCTCCTCCACTGCCGCCATCACAGCAACAACATCAGTCGGGGACAGAAGACGGTGAGAGTGAAAATCAAAATCAAGAAGACAACGCTGAGGATGAAGAGGACGATGGCAATGGAGATGGTTATCAGATTGTTGCTAATATTCCCTTTTCATTGTCAACTATGGGGTAAGATGATGAGCAGCAGGCATTTACACAAGGTCAAATTTCGTTACTCCCAAGTCCCAACCCACCTTGGCAATATGCTAAAGGAAAGGAGAAGCAATTAGCATGTTTGGTAAGGTGGATTACACAAAGCAGGACAATATTAAGAGAATAAAAGAAGTTAAATCCTATTTGTTGCACTGTCCATTCGTATCCAATTCTATATACCAAACATGCGCTATATATGCTATACATGAGTGCATATCATGGAGCAATGTCTTTCTAGTGTAAATTTAGTCATTTGTTTTTTGAGAAAATAGTGACAGAGATTAGTGTTTGGTCTATGATGTAACATAGTACCCTTTCTTCCTATTTATACTGCACAATACACGCACTCCCTTGCACAAGTAGTTTGTTTGTTGAGTTTGCTTGTCTTAGTGAAAAACCAGTCATTTGTAAGAACAATTTTATTCCAATAAATGATGTGATGGCTGATTTAATGCCAGAGGATTTGAGCGAATTTCTCTCTTTTGCCTTTTATGTACTGTACCTTCATGTATAAATAATTAACATTTCTAAGACAACGATTATTAAACAGGCTATACTTACATTTATATATGGGAAATCTCGAAAATTACAATTCCATCACATATCTACAACTCGTTAAAAACACATCATGGATCATCTCCAACTAAGGATTGGAGAAAGGGAAAAGAATCAAATTCTCTATACCTATCCTTCCCTTTCAAGGATGAAAAATTATATAAGGATTTTTAAATATAATTAATATTGATTATTTGGACTTATTTCTACTCATAATAGTATATATTACGTTTTATTTAGGTAGAAATCCCAATTTAGAGTTGAATTGATCAAAATGAAGAGTTTGAAACTTAATTTGGATGAAAGGATGGAATTGCATAATTATAGGGAAGTTTGAGGACTTGATTCGAAGGCTTGGAAGTTCAATTGGGAAATACAATTAGTTTTGGGGACCAAATTTAATGCTTGGAAAGTTTATGAACCAAAATTGATGAAATCTGAATCTCTGGGACCAACTAAATACGTTTGAAACTTGAATGATCAAAGTGGAAGATGTTAAAATGTTAGGGGTCAATTTGGACACGATCAAAGTTGGAGGACCAAATTGGATATGTGAAAAGGTTGAGGGACTAACTTCAATGTGTTGATATTTTTTAGGATTAGCACTGCAAGTTCTTGAAGCTAGTTGCCACCCTGATTCCAACTAATATATATTTTTTAAATTTTTTTTGGGTAAACTGTTTTTAATCATCAAAACCTAGATCGAACAATTTTCAAACGGTTTGATTCGATTTTGTAATGGTTGAAACCTTAGTCACATGAATCAAAATCAAAGATTTCCAAAATTGCGGTTTTCATTTGACTTGGGAGTTGGCTTCTTTTGGTTTTTTTTGTTCACCTCTAATTGATATGTCGTTGAGAATAAAATAAGGCAACAATTATGAATTTGTGATCATGGTGCTTTACGTGATTGGATTTTACAAAGATTTTAATATGCGTTTAAATCACTTTAGTTTAGTTGTTAATTTTACGAACTTCATTTTTTTATTAAAGTTAATTTTGATTAAGGTATAATTTTAGAGTAATGTTATTCATCTCCAGTGGGGATGAAAACACAGTTTATGTGTCATTAAATGATAGGTTAAATGAAAGGTGAAATTAAATGACTTATTTAATTTCACCTATCATTTAATGTCATATTAGCGCCACATAGACTGTGTTTACATCCCCAGTGGGGATGAATATCATTACTCATAATTTTATATCTTTTGACATGGACTTGCGTGGGCTTTTCGAGGCATGACTTCCATGCGAGGAAATCATTCTATAAAAATCTTGTCTAGGTCAATTCCTGGTGGGTAACATCGATTGGACAATAGAGAATTATAGAAGAAAAAGGAGAGAAAATACATGGGAGAATAAAAATAAAGCTAGGGTTTCGACATTTTTACAGGAAGAATAAGAATTTTTGGTGCAAGATTTTTATATTTTTTTAGTTTTTCCTTTAAATCCAATTATATACTCCAAACCCTTCTTATATTGGATAATTCTTGTTGTACACTTTTGTGTACAACAAGTTTGACACTCACCTCACATGGGGGTGGGCCCATAATTTTTAAAATCGCGGACTCACCCCGATGTGTGAGGAGTGTCAAACTAGATGTACACAAAAATGTACATCTAGAATTACTCTGATTTAATTATAATATTTTAATCTTCAATTGATATTTGTGTTTTGTTTTTACTTTTTTTCTTTATAAATTTGGATTACTTGATCACTAATTCAACGATTTGTGAAGAGTAACAAGTCAAAATATAAGTTATTTGTATAGATCACGTAATAAAATTATAATTTCAACATAAGGAAGATATACAAGTATACTAATCTTGCGGGTTTTAATTGAATTCTTTGGCGATTGAATACTTTTAATTAAGGCTTATTCTTTGGTTTTAACCACAACAATCACATCATGGTCCAAATTTTTGCTACATAGGGAGAGTGTCAAATACGTTGTCAACCAATAATGCTTTATTCATGTTTGGAATGTAGAGGTGCCAAATACAACACTTTGATAGGTTGAATTATCATGTGCAATCTCAAAAACCAATTCTTGATAACTGAGCAGTTACCAATTTTCGACAATATAGCATGAGATGAATTGAGTCGGCAAGAGGTCGGAGAAAATTGTTCAGATCATCTTTACCGTTCTTCTCATTGTTCTCAAGACCGATTTTCATCGGATTATTTGAATTAGCTGAAGTTTTGGGGATTCAATTAAAGAAGCGTAATGTCTGGGGTTGTCCAAAATGTCAGTTACATTAGATTAATAGGAGTGATTAGAGATTAATAGATTCAACTGGTTGTTTTCTAGAGCGATGTAGGTTGGCTGAGTCGAAGTGGAGGCGGAGGTGGAGGCAGAGGCAGAGGCAGAGGTAGAGGAGGAGGAGAAATAAAAGAGTTTTTTTTAAAAAAAATAATTTATTTAGTATCCGTTTGCGTTTTTATTAAAAATTGAGATTATAATTGTAATTAGTTCTTTACTTTTCTTTTCCTTTTGTTTTATTTAAAGGGGACAATATATTCATCATTTCATGGATTTTTATTGAGAAAATAGATGAAAATGATGTTTTGTGCAATCAAAAGTGTAAATATAGGTGGAAATGCAGAAAAAAAAGTGAGGACATTTTGCATAATGAACTTTAAATTTAATAACGTTTTGTGCTAATAATCATTTTATGTTATAAGTTCATCTTTGTTTGAAAAATGCATTTTCAAAAATATCAGATCAAATATATTTTCAATGTTTAACAAAATTGAAAAATCGAAAACAGTAAATCAAATGCACCGTAAGCAATTTGCTAAACAAAAGTGTTTTCAAAATATTTTTGTAAAATAGTAAATGCATGACGAAATTGATATATTTTATTATGCAAAAATGACCACAAAAGTGTTTCTGGTTCTAGTGGTGAGGTGCCATTCTAGTTATCTAAAAGGAAAAAGTCCCAAGCACAGAGAATCATTGACAGAATTCATATAGATACTATCTTGGTAACATCTGATTTTTTTTTTCCATCATCCAATGAAACCTCATAATTTGTTGTCCGTAAAATTTTCTGTACTTGTAGCATGATCGTACCTGAAATTCCAAGTTTAAATTCCTCGAACACTGCAATTTCAAAGCAAACATTTTAAAACTTGATCAAAATCGATCAATAGGATAGATGGATTTACCTAAAGGGAAAAATATATAATTATCATTCAAATTTAACGAACATGATTAAATATTTCAAAAATAGGTGGTCATATTTGTGACATTTGATAAAAAACAAAAATTGTGATGTATATTTAACTAAACAGGTCATGGTCACAATGGAAATAATTTATTATCATGATCACATACTCACAATCACACGTGATCACAATCACATACAATGAGTCACAAATCATAATTAACCGTTCACAATCGCTCTTCCGATCACCTCACCTCACCCATTCCCCATGCCACGCCACTCCACTCCATTACACCTGCACCATCTGATTTTCACTACCACCTCAAATACAAAATTACTACCACCAGATTGTACAATTAGCAATTTCAAAGTACATTGAACTCCCCTATGGAATCCTTCCATTGGACCATTGCCAATTGCAGCTTTACCACCAACTGCTTGGTGTCACAGTGGTAAAAATGTAAACTGAATTTTGACTCTGTTTTTCATCTCATCCAGAAGCGACTACGGAGAAACGTTCTCTGATAAGGTGAAGGTGATGCAAGCATCCGAGTTCAATTGTGGTGGTTGTGACGACGGCGATGACAACGAACGAGGGGTAAAGTTGAAGAGTATTTTTCTTAGAAGGGGATAAAGGCTTCGACAACAGCATTGGAAGATATGTTTTTGGGGACGAATTGAATTGGAGACGTGGATGTGGGGTGATACGTGGTGTATTAATATGCAGAATTTTTGATAAAAAAAAATTATTATCTGATTTTTAAATTTGAAATTTGAAATGTAGGGATCTGGGCAATTTTCTCTTACCAAAAATTACCGGTAGTCACTTGCATTCTAGTCGGGTGATCCTGTCTGGCTCGAGTTGTCAATTTATCACCCAGATCAGTTGATTAAAAAAGAAGACTCACAAAAGCTACTAATCGATGATTAGAACAATGTCCTCAGCTTGAACAAAAAATATGAACGAAAATAATGTACATTACTTTTGTAGCAGTACACAGTCATATAAGGGTGCGTTTGATTGCAAG